TATATGTTAAACTATAACTGATAAACTTTATTTTAATATAAAAATAAAAATTATTTCTTATTAAAATCATAAATTTTATATAGAGAGAAAATTTCAATTTTCATTATGTTTTATTAGTAAATTTAGCCCCCGAGTCATTACTTTTGGTCACCACTGTATAACTAAAAATTAATATTATTAGATTCATAATAATTATTTTTTAATTTATTATTATTATATTATTATATTATATATAATCTGGTATTTTTATCATTTTTTTCTTGAAGAGATTCAAAAAACTTTAGTAATTTGAATTTTCAAATTATATTTATCTGTAATATCAATTAATTGATACAATAAATCAGATAACATTTCTTACTTATATATAATAGAATCATCTTTCTCCAATTTATAATAGAATCATCTTTCTCCAATTTATTATATAAACCTATCATGAGAAAAAAATATGTTCAGTTAACTCAGTTTTATTATAAGAATTTATTGGTAACAATTTTTTTTATCTTTAATTTCAGTAAAAAATTTTCTATCTACTATATAGATGCACGCACTGTATCTAAAAATAATAATAACAAAACTAGATTCAATTTGTAGGTTTTTAAACTTGAATCTTCACATGGTAAACCTATGCTTTTATCTCTTTATGAAAATAAGGATACGACTAAAACATAAGATAAAACAAGAGATATAATTATAACAAAGTATTTCAAATTCTTAACAAGGAAAAAGAAAAAGAAATCAAAGAGAAATAAGCTAAAACCAAAAGGTGAGGTTATACGAACTAGAAATTTCAAATAAGAAACAGATCACTAGATTTTTTTTATAAAAATAAAATCATACTCTTCAAGTGATCCATAACTTTATTGTATAATTTGATTATCTTTCTCACGGAAATGATACCTTGAGAAAGAAAATTCTTGCATGTGAAAAGAAATCTGGCTAATCAAAAAAATAGGATTTATCTCCGATGACGACTTTTTTTAGTTTTCCGATAGTTTCTGGGTAGAGTATTCGAGTGAGTTAATGCAAGATAATTTTTTAGTTTAGTTTCTGTTTACGCGCATTCTTTATATTGATATTACTAAAAATATAATTGAATGAACGAGAAACTTTATTGTTCGAACAAGTTATCAAAAGCAAGAGTATATTACACAGTACGTGTATATGAAACATGAAAAACAGCCATACCAACTTTTACGAATTTGCGAAACTTGTATTTATGCATTATTACAAAAGAATGAAACAAGGGTGGAACACACGAATTAATAATACTATATATCCAACCTTACGCGAAGAACGGAGATCAAAGACATGCTATTTTAATTTCCAAAATAGCATAAGAACAAAAATTCTATCATGTATATATCGAAAAACGGGGAACGGTATACTGTATACCGATTTGGCATTGAAATTTTTCGTGTAACTTTATTATACAATTCTTGTTGCGGAGATAACAATGTTTTGCTTTTTTTGATGCTATTGCTCAGCAGACTATTTTATTTGGGTTTAAGTTAGAATCCCGAAGTTAGAACGTGATTAAAAAAATTTTTTCATCGCGTGTTTAAGCTGTCAAAACGACGATCAAGTGAATTCCCGTTTCGGGAAGCATACGATCCTCGCGAAGTTACAAAAACGCACCTTGTTGATTATCTTGGCTAGACCGAAAATACTACGTTATCTACTACCTAACGCTAAGCAAGAAGTAAAAAAACCTTATTTTTTTGTTTGATTTATTAGCAAAACAATTCCAAACATGCTCAGCCCTCGCTTAAAACTCTGATAGAATAATCATCATCGTTATTTTATAATTTGATATTTCAATCTTTGTGATCGTCTGAGTAACAGTGATTCTTCGGTACAAGAATTAAAGACAATACTTCAAATGACCGGGATATTCATTTTCATCGTGCAACTCAATAAAAGTAAGAACACAAGTTTTAATCGAGAGAGGACAAAGCAGTTTCAAACCGGAGATAAAATTGCCTCTTTCCATACAATTAAAGAAATGTATAATTATACATTACCGAAAAAAAAAAACGTCATATACGGCGTATCTTGCATGGGTGTGAAGTTTATGAAGCGGAAAAATTCGTTCGACTACAATAGGAAAGTCGTGTGTGACGCCCGAATTTACGTGTGACTTCTGAATATCTATTTATACATAGTTCACTACTTGACGAAACAAGTCAACGATGGGTCATAACACAACTTGCTCCGCGTGACTTTCTGAATACATGAAAGATAACTTTATTTTTATCAGATAATTAGATCATGCATGACACTGATCATTCGTTATCTTTCCATCAGGGATTAAATAAAAAATAAATCTCGAAATAAAATCTCAACAAATAAAATAAAAATTCTAATCTATAGGTTTCGTTTTTATTGATTTTCTTTTTCTTGCAGCCTTAGATCCTTGGCATTTTTCCTATTGGTATGATAATCATAGTAAGCCGTATAGATAGCTGGTAATATCGGTGGGAATGGCGCATCCGGATAAGATAATACAATTCTGAAGATTAAAAGAATAAATATGAGTCTCGTGATTTATCACGGAAATGTTTCCCAATCAATCATCATTGACTCACCTCTTCTGCAGAGAATTCCAATGGTACGAAGGACGAGTAGCAACAGCGTAATGCAGATCTTCATTAGCATCGAAAAATTCCATTCCCCATTCACTTGTTCCTTTAACGATAGAGATCGTTCTATATCTCCATTCACCCGCTCGTGGACATTTTCGTTTGATCAACCCATCAGACACTGGGCTTGTCCACGTGATCTTGTATTGACAAGATTGAATATTGGTGGCCTCAAGTTTTTTCGCACGTGTAAATGAAATGATGACGGATGGTGTCAACGAAAAGAAATTGGATTCCTCAGATGCGATTGTAGACGCTACCAGAGAAACTAGACCATTTTCATCCTCTCTATATTCACGTGCTTCGTAATATGCAGGACTCCAAAGCTTGTTAGATCGTGAAACTAGTTCAGCGAATTCAGGCGTGTCAGGATCTTCAAAATTAGTAAGGTTGTTATTATTTGAAGCAATTTTGTCGGAGGATGAATATTTTTCGTTTAGCTCCAAAAGATAGTCTTTCACTTGTTTTTTATTCTCACGATTCGGTAAAGAAGTTAAATCAAGTGGTGGTGCTGCCTCAAGAACATAATCCCATCGAAAGTTTATTGCAAAACGACTACTAACACGCAACTGATAATGATTTGGTACATCCGATATACCCGAGGGAAGTTTAGGTTCATCCGTTTGTACAATAAATAAAATCACATTTAACACTAGAAACACCAATATCAAACCCAATAATAGTAAAATTAAAGTTTCACGCGTGAGTAAACGTTTACGCAAAGATTCGAACGATGATGGTTCTTCTCTTTGATTCAAAAGCGGAGTGCTCTCAGTATCGGCCATTATATTATGGATATCTCTATTTTCGATGGTAAAGAATAAATGGAAGACGAAAAGGAGAGAGAGCAGTGGGCGGCTTAATGCATCATCTATTCATCTTATTCATCTTTGTTTGACAAAAGTATTACGTTATTGGCCAATAAAGAGAATCACAAAACATAGAATGATGATTGGGTGTATCGTGCATGTTTTTACGCCATAAGATCGATTGTGAAAAAAGCAATGGGAACCTTATTAAATTATTTGATAAGTATATATGTTACATGTATTTACAAATATTTTTGAATACAATTTTTTTACCAACGAAATGGATAAGTATGAAATATAAACTTATTAAAGATAAAATACGTATGTTCAAAATTGTTCATTATGATGATATTTTTGATGTTTTGGATTACGAAGAGAATAAAAAGAAATGGTATCGTATATATCATTCAGTATATGGCACAGTTGATTATTAAAGAGGAGAAAAAAAAATAGTATACAGGTGGGGGAGTTTTTAACGACCAACAAGCGCTGATAACCAATTTACATAATTGGTTCGTTGTATCTATCCCAACGATCTATACGCATGGCTGCGTTTTTTGTAAACGAAATCTAAATAATTGATACGCTTAGAATTTAGTAAAAATTTGTAATTTACTCATAGTTAATTAAATTTAATCATACATACAATATTCGCGATAAAATCAAACTTATCGTCGAAAATAGGAGTGGGAAAAGTGATCAATTTCTCAAGGTTGACCTTTGAATTTTCGTCTATTTTTTGTTTCTTGTTGGATGAGAATAAAGTACCAAAGGTACGAGAGAGAGTTGATTGAATAACTTGACTCTCATTCGTGGCTGATGACTGAATTCTGGGCTGAGTTGCAGTTGTTGTTATTGGAGGTTGAGAGTCTGTTTCCGTTCGAGATTCGGTCACATTTTCTATTTCCGTTGGTTCATCATCATCAGTTGCAAAGAACCATGCAGTAAAATGAGCAAATACTTCTTGTAGAGTATTTGTTTTATCATCGCTGTTACTCGTATTTGAATTTGTGTTTGTGTTTGTATTATGTTCGATGATTTCTGTTGTTTCTGAAATTGATTTTATGTTGTTCCTTTTTGTTTCGATACTTTTCGATGATTTTTCATTAGTGAACCACCAGGTTGGGAAAGAAACAAGAGGCTTAGCTTGCATTTTCTGTTTAATTAATGCAATTTCTTTTTGATCTGTGGTACCAAACAATGCTTTATTTAAATTCCTAATACTTGGAGTTGTAATGCTAGATGCTTGATCATTGTTCTTGTCAGACACACCAGAAGTGATCGACGAAAAAATAGCAGACGCGCGTACGCGTTCGATTGTCGTTTTCGTTGGTTCTATTCGCGCAAGTTGAATAAGTTTAGTCGCATCCTTCATTTGAAATACAGCCGGAGCAGAATGAGAACGTCGAGGCTGTGGTGGTGACAATAATGATGACTTTGATGACAGGTAAGAACGATGCCATTCCGAAGACTGAATTTTCGTTGACGTGGTTGGAATATTGGTAATTATATCCTGATGAGCGGAACAATCGGCGAGATAACTCTCGTATTCACTCAAGAAATTCGCAGCTGATGTGGGAAGTTCTTCTTCTTCTTCTGCAACACTTTTTATGAGGTTGGTAAGAGTCTCCAAGTAATCGTGAATATCATGATATAATATTTTGGCATCTTCTACTTCATTTGTGCTGTTTGATCTAATTGGCTGTTTATGTTTAGTTGTTTCCATTTTTATGCTCTTTCAAAGAGACGAGATATAATAGTACAAAATATTGATATCAAAAATTTTATATATCGAGATATATAAAATATAATAATGAGTAAAAGAAATTATCCCTAGGGTTAAAAGTTAAGAGGAAAATCCCATAAATTCTCTTTATATATTTCTTTCTCAAGATCTTCCGCATTTTTTTATATACATATATTAAAAGTCTCACTGTCTTTTTACTCAATATATGTACAATTTGATTTATCAAAATATATATATATATATATTTTACGCATGTTTACCATTTGATTCCTTTTAGTTTAAGTAGATCGTTTTTTTTATACTGTATGCAAAACTCTGTTGGGGAGTGAGAACAATTCAGCCTCATCTAACAATGACTTATGATTTTGTGCTAGTTTAATTCTTGTTCTTGTGAGCTGAGAGATTCACAAATTCTCTATTAATCTTAAATATTTAATCTACACATAGAGAAATTTAAAATAAAGATTTTCTGTGTTCAGATGATGTATCGGTTTAAACGAAACAACGTATCAAAATATTTTGTGTATTGAATTTTTTAATTTAACTTTATAATTAGAAAGAAACGAAATGGGAGTGTGTTCATGTTTCAGGATTTTGATGGAAGGAAATTCGTATGATTCCGTGTTATTGCAAATCGGTATTACGTACATACCGTTTCAGTTTTTGAATGAGGAGTTTTTTTCACACAATCATTATTTTATTGTTTTGTCCGCCGAATCATTATAGTAACCAAATTTGAAATGGATCATGAAATTATTACACTCTCACAAAAGACAAAAAATTCTCGACTGCCTTTGTTTTTTGCCGTGTCGATTATCGGTATTTCATGAAAAATCTGTAATATTGCATATTTCTGAGTTTCGCAAAGAACAAAAAATGGAATTCTATCTAGGCTTTATCGTTATGTACTATTAATATGACGTGCATCATTATCCCCCAAGTCGATTCAAAATTTCGATCATTCTTTTACCCCTTTTATAAAAAAAGAAGTTGATGTTTAAATAATTTTATTTGTGAAATGGCATAATGAGATTGCATCATTACCTTCAATAAAATGATTTTTTGGTTAGCTTTCGCACAGAACCAAGAAAATTTTAAAAATAGAGTAATCGTGCAGATATTAACTGCATAGAATTACATGAAAAAGCTATGAGACATGCAAGTTTTTTTAATACATTGAGCTTTTTTAATATATTGAAACTCTCAATTTAGATATCAGAAGTTCTACAACCCCAAACCTCTTTTTCGAAGAATTACATAAAAAATACGCCCATTTTTTTTTTAAACCTTTTTATCGAGATTCAGACCAGATTTGTATCTATTTGGATAATGACGTCAATGGAGAATTAACTGAGGATTGAAAATCTGAAACATTTCCCGTTTCATTTATGCGTTGTATACCGATACGTGGCAGTCCACCATGTTGCTGTATATTCAATGGTATAGAGAATAAAGGACAAGTTTCTTTTTTTACATTACTGCATTTATATAGAGTATGTTGGATTACCTTTGCAAGAATCAATTGCTATTATAACATACAGATATGCAAGAATCAAGCAATGCAGAATACGCTATTATAGCATACAGACATGCGTCTTGACATACAGATTTTTTTTACAGGTCAAAACGTGAATTAAATAGAATTAAAATTATCGCTGAACTATTAGGAGACTCGAGATTTATGTCATACTATCAGTAACTTGCATCTAAGAATGATTATGCAAAAAGACAATACCTCATTTAAGAAACGTGAATAAATGTCATTGTTAAGGAAAGGTTGGTCCGTCAACGAATAGATTATAAATTAATGAGCACGAGTCAATATCGATATTGCATCTGTTAATCTATCATCTGATCCAGATTCGCAGTGATAGCATTTCATTTAAGTATTGTTGGGAGAGCAATGTTTGCCATTTAATTAAAATGCTTTGAATAGAATAAAACCAGCTCAATTCATGGGTTCACTTAACATAGTAAATCAAAATTGAAAAAAAAACATTTACGTGTATCCTATAGTTTCAGATGAATTGAATTTTGCTTAGAATAATTAAATTGAACGATTAAATCGTGTTCTCGTAATCAATCAAAAATAACTTTCGTTTGTGTCCTAGAATGCTTCTTTTTCCGACAGCAACCATTCTTCAATAACCAAATTTCAGAAAATCATTTCGTTTTCCAAACCATCCTGCGGAAGTTGCCTTTATCCCCATAATGATCTCATCAAATATGTATTGAGGGTTCCACGGAATCCTTTTGCGAATTCCTACCACTTCTTTACGTTGTTCTTGAAGACGAGTTCGCGTCAAACCATGTATGTTGACCAGTAAAAAGGGGAACTATATAAATAGGAAACACAATATCCCATTTGAAGCTTAAAAAGATGCGAGAGTAAGTTCGAAAGTGGTTTGCATTCTAATGTAATCTGGATAAAAATTTAATTAGTCATAGCAATGATTATCAAGTTTAGCAATATTTTTCTAGCAGGCTCAAATAAGAATCTCAATATTGGCAAGTGTTATTCTCGCTTGATCGATATTAAAATAGATTGTTTGTTCTAATCGCATGAAAACGGGATCACAAATACGCAATAACTATTTTGAATATGTTATAAGTCAGGATTTTGAAGAAACATATTATTCTTGAGGATGACTCCAATAATTTAGAGGCATTTTGCAAGCTGATACTACGCATAAAGCACACGTATGATATCAACGAGATTATAATTAAGCCTTTAAAATTTAATTAATGGATTCATGGTAAGCGGTATTTATTCGTTAAATGACAATATAAATTTTATTTTCATCCATCCTTCACAAGTTAGATTTTTTAATTTTTTTATCATGTGACATGACCGAGTTGAAAAAAGTTCAGGACAACAATAAGTATAAAAGTACTCTCTTTTCAACGCAAACTTCTATATAGGATATTTTTAAACAACAATTCTGACCACTTTTTATTCCCAAAATGTATCGTATCTCATTAGAAAAATGTTCCTGCATATACACTCTCGATAAGAAGAATATTCAGTCCAGAAAACAGCATTCTCGGAACGGGTGGACTTAGCTTCGGTCCAACGCATCTGCAAGAGAAGGAAGAAATTTGAAATTCCGAAGATAAGCCAAAACCCCCGGGACGCCTCGCATCCTTTCGGATCGCTATTAACGAAATGCCGCCCGATTAATAGCATCTGGAAAATGTTATAGGCGTTGGCAAAACCAAAACGGCGGGCAAATCAATCGCGAATCCAACAAGAAAGTATAAATCAAAACGGGTGAAGGTTAAAACAGCAGGACAAGAAAGTACGTATTCGTGATTTTATATATAATCCATCATATTTTGATACATCAAATTTTTATTTGTTTAACTTTTTATAAGCGATTTTATTTATTTACTTTATTCAATAAAAATATAAAAATCTAATATTAATATGTCCACTTTCCACCTCAACAACCATTTTAATATGCTTTGACATATTATTAATTAAATTAAATAAACATTGGATTCTATTCTTCTTCTAGGGCTATTTTCAGCGGTTCTCTTGTTCTTAGAAATGGTTTACGAATTCTGTTCTTTAAATAAAATTCTCTATTGGATTGAGATCTGATTGAGATCTGATTGAGATCTGATAATGAGCTGGCCAAGGTAAGATCCATTATCATAGTGCTTTTCATTCATTAGTATGAATTTTAACATTATTATCCAAATATAAATTTGATTTGCTAATTAAATAAACTTTAATATATTAAAAATAAAAATAATCTTTAAAATTATTTATTTAAAAGAACTAAACTTTTGTTTTTCTAGTAATAAAAAAATAGATTATTCTAATTTATAATATAATCAAGAATTAAAAATTATCTAAGAATTCTAAGAATTATTAGATAAAAATTCTGATTTATGTAAAGAATTAAAATTAATATTATATTGAAACTAATTTAAATACTTTTTAATTTTAATAAAATAAAATTATTAATTTAAATATTTATAAAGATAATAACTTTTATGAATTTAGTAACTTTTAATTTTAATAAAATAAAATTATTTATTTAAATATTTATAAAGATAATAATAACTTATAAATTTAGTAAAAAATAAAATATTAGTATTAAAATTATAATAATAAATTTATTAAAATCTGAAATTATAATTAATTATTAATATTTAATTTAATAAAATCATTAAATTTTAATATTTTAATTTAATTTTAATAAGTATTCTTATTTTAATTTATAATATTTTAGTTATAATTATATAAAAATAATATAAAATATTTAATAATAATAAATATAAGTAAGACTTAATTTAATTTTATAATTTTATTATTTTATTAATTTTAAATTAAAATTAATATTATAAAAAAATAAGAACAAATCTTTTTATATATTATTTTATTATTATTAAGATTATTTTAAATAAAATTTTAAAAATTTAATTAGAAAAAAATTTTATATTAACTTTAAAATTAAAATTAATTTTTCAGAAAATTTAAAAAATCTAAAAAAATATTTATTAAATTATAATTATAAACTTTCTTTTAATATAAAAATAAAAATTATTTATTAATAAATTATAAATTTAAATACAAAAAAATTTAATTTTATTATATTTTTAATATATAATATTTAATAAATCTTATAAATTTAAAACTTTAATAAGTTTTAAAATAAAAAATTTTATTAAAATAAAATATATAATAACTTTCATAATTATAAAATTAAAGAATTAATTTTATTAATAAAATATAAAAAAAATTAAAAGTTTTTTTTTATATTAAACTTTATAATTTTATTAAAAAATATTTTTTATTTTATATTAAAATAAAATTTATAAATTATAATTAAATATATATTTTTTTCAGATTTTTTAGATTTTTTTTAAAAGAGTTATTCTAATTATAAACTTAATATAAAATTTTAATTAACTAAAAATAAAATTTAATTAATAAAATTTTTATATTAATTTTATAATTAAAATAACTC